AAGAAAAGCAAAGTACAGTGATATTGCTAAAAACTTACCGGTGTGGCCGCAGGGTAAGCTAACATAATATTTGAAAATCAAAATAATTATTACGTTATCATTAGAGAGAAATTATTTATAGCATATAGAGAGATTTGTGGAGAGACAAGTTGCGTATGTTGTATTTTAATAGAGCCTTGTCATAAAATATCCGCTTTAGATGCAGTGATCAGACCAAAGACTCTGACTTTAGTTAGCTCTTTATTAAGATAATTTATATTCATTCATATTACAATTTCATAATTATTATAAGCTAAGATGTTTAAGCGAAGATTAGTATAATGTTCTGTCGGGACTCAATTGTTATAATCAAATAATCATAGCGTTTACTAGATTAAGTCACCTGAAGCATTTTTCAATTTCAGAATTTAAATCACAAAATAGCTTTGACGCAAAAGATAAAAAGAAAAATTTTATATTTTTCTTTTTTTTATATTAATTTGAAATAACACAAGTTTAGGTTTATTCAGGATTAACTATAGAATGTTTTATTAATAGTATATAATTACTTTTTGAGTAGTATTATAATATATTACTGAAGAGTGGTAAGGAATTGTAATAAAAGTATGTAAATTTATCCCAATAATGAGCTTTTATTGTAAAATTTGTAATTTTATTACTTTACTGGACACTATGCAACCGTATAAAAATAAATATTCAAATCAATTAATAAGCAAAATTCTTGTGTTGACTTCACCTTTTTGATTTATTCCATCAAAAATGTATAAAAGCTTTTTATAGCTTTTGCACTGTTTTAAAGTCACTGTTGTATTCAAAATGTACAGTACAATATTTTCTTGTGATTTACGGTTTAAAATGCATTCGTTGCATAAATCGGTTATAAAATTTCATTCCTGCTAATTATTTTTCATATTAGAAATAGCATGGAAGATTAAGTAGTGATGTCTCGTTAATATATTTAAAAGTAACTTTTTTGCATGGAGAAAGGAAGCATATTTGTTGATAGTTAGAAGCTAGAATAGACTAATGTAAAAAAGTTTCGTTAATATATTTAAAAGTAACTTTTTTGCATGGAGAAAGGAAGCATATTTGTTGATAGTTAGAAGCTAGAATAGACTAATGTAAAAAAGTTTAAAAACTGACATTGATTGTTAGCAGTTCAATTATACATAAAAAGTTATATCAACATAATATTTGACTCTTTGGATCCACTAATTTTTTCATGTCACAACTGTTTTCCACCTAAACATGCAATGTTATGACAATATCATGTCATAGTTGTTATCATGTAAAGACAAGCAGTAGAAATAATAATAGCAGAATTTAGTAATAGGAATACTGGGAAGAGAAGTCATTGTACAAATCTTACTCCCATAATGTTTTGAAAGTCGTATGTAAAACTTGATGTCTATGAAAACTATATATATACCGCGCTAGACGATTCAACTTACATCGGAAGAAAATTGGGATTTTATTTGTATAAAAAATAATAAATTATTAAAATTGTTACTAGTTAATACGAAATAAAAGATTAACTACAATATTAATAAATTATTTTTTTAATATTAATATTTTTTTTTATTTAATTTTTCATGTCAAATTAGGAGAAACAATATATTTTCTGGTTGGATTGCAATATGCCTGGTGAACCTTAGTCGTCGGATTTGTATTACTACTTAACTTGTTGTTGTATAGGCGTGTCCAATTTCGGTCAACAATTACTGGACCACATAATATATTCTTCTAAGAACTTTTCTTTCAAAAATATTTTACTTTCTTCTGCCTGTCTTTCTCAGAAATCTCGCAGCAATTAGTATAATGGTAGGAATTTTTATGACTGAATTCGACTTATTAGAATTGTTCAGGGGACATGATGGAGTAATTTTCGGAGTAACTTTTCCGAAATCTAGAAAAAATATTAATAAAAGTAGTGAGTCAATTTTTATATAGTATATAGTCTTATTTTAGTTACTAAAATTATGCAAATCATTATTTCTAAGTAGTCCAGTCAACGGAAATGGTAAGCAGCAGCTATTCGTTGATAACGAGGTGCTTTAGAATATAAACCCGGTAACTCTTGAATCCCTTGACTAGTGTATGGGAATAAACGCATATAAAAGTGTTTACTCTATAAATATAATTTATGAATTTTTTATAGTAATCATATTAAGAAGCAAGGATGAAGATGTTAAATGTTTTAATCAGTAACCAAGATCTATTTCATGTTTTCAGAAATCATTCTAATCATTCCGTTTAGAGGAAATAAAATGTTAAATTCAGAATGATGCATTTTTTTTAGTTTGTAATCGATTTTGTTGCTCATTAAGTAGAATTTTCATTTCTGCCGAAAAACCTATAATGAACATTTTGCAAACTTTGTGACAAGCATAAATTTTGCTTAATTAAACGTACGTTGACCCACTTTTGTTGTATAGTTTCGAAATAATAATTTTCATTTCAAATATCATTAAAAAATAATTAAACAAATTTGCAGTGAAAAGCATCTGTTGGTAAAACAAAATAATATTTATTTAAAATTTTAAAGAAATTAATCATGCAGGGCAATAGAAATAAAGACGCACAGGATATGAGACACAAATTTTTGCATAAAGACTTTTGTCATTCACATTAAAATTAAGAAGATTTTTAATATTTTTTGTAGAGTGTACGTAAATATAATGGTGGTAACCTAATTAAGTCTTCCAGAAGTGCCAGAAATTGACGAAATACAAGAGGAAATCCCTAACCATTGAGATGATGTTTGTACTGCAATGAAAGTACATTAAAGCAGTAATTACGATAACTGTACTGAACATAAAGAAAATGGATTAATGTAAACTGTTAAAATTACACAGCATGAAAACTATTTATGAACACAAACAAACAATATAATGGTTTATTAGGAGAGAATCAGATTAGGAACCAAATAATCAACGATTGACGAATAAATTAGCATGCGCTAATTAACAGAGAAAGGGAAAAATATATATGCTATCTATTTCTTAATCCAAAGCAAATACATTACCAAGCCGGAGATTAATGTGGAACGTAATCAGATTAACCAAATAACGGTGGAAGACTTTAACAATGTATTATAAGTCCAATATGATTTTTTGGAACTAGTTTTCACGAACAAAGAGGTGCTTTATAGAAATTGACTGAAATTTAATAAACACTTTAGTTTAACAGTGACAGTCATCATTCGAAAAATTGTAGCATTCCAAATATTTACTGCTCCTCTACATAAAGATTCCACCTTGCATTATTGATTGTTTTGTGGGTATAATGAAAAACATAAACTCAGCACAAAAATATCTTTTAATACACTGTCAATGTATTTTAGATCATATCCCCTTGACTGTGATTTCGAAAAATAAATATGTATAATGTTCTTTTTTGGTCATTTTTAACATAACGGTACTGAGAAAGATAGGTACTAATGTCTTCTGTGTAACTAAGTAAAAATTTACACAAGATGAACTTAGATTAGGAATTATAGATATCACATTTACTACATATGTAAAATTAAAGCATATATGATGGATTGACCATGATGCGAAGATAAATAAAAATACAACTATTGTTTTAATAGATTTGTTGAAATACCAAAATCGTGATGATATTAATACTGGTTTGCGGAAAAAACCGAGTATAAGGTGCCAATTACCGTATTCCGGAGAAAAATGTTTAAAAAGTTCAATAACTTTTCTGATAATTGTGTTATATTCGACTTAGAATAGTCAGAAAAAATTTCACGTTCATAATTTTTAATTATCTGGGGAAGATTCAAGCCTTTATAATAATTTTATCATTCTTTGTATGAGCATACGTCAAATTTTCACTGTCTTTTGGATCTTTAATTTGTGTTGAGATCCTTTAACGTGCTATTTATCAGATTGCTTATGTATTCATTGGTTGACTTTCTTCAAATTTGTATACTTATAATAATTTGTATAATTACAGGAAAGCATGCTTAAATTGAACAAATATTTATGACAGATGCAGCGGCCCTATGTTCCTCCTATATGTTAGGTTATGATGTCATAATATATATCACAAAGGGTTGAAAAACCATTTCGAACTTTGATTTGATAGTCTTAAAAGGTCTTGCAACTGACTAAGCTTCAAAAAAATGTTAAATAATTTAAATAGTGCACCTTGGTGTTTTTTAATAAAATGGAAAAAAATTGAATATCATTACACCATCATTAACAACAATAAAATATTAGGAAGCTGAATTTAAAGGTGATCGTACGAGTGTTTTTGATGAAGCCAGAGAATAGGCCGCGGGTAGAGCTTCCAAACATCATTGAACTCAACAATCGGCTGAATAAGTTTCTACTTCCATATTTTGGGACTCAATTGGAATAATTTTCATAGACAATAATAACAAAGAAAAACAATTTTTCAAAGAAAAACAATAATATTAGACTACTATTGCATATTATTGTATGGATTAAATGACGAAATCAAGAAAAAAACGATTACATTTGTAAAAAAAAAATTTTATTTTTGCAGGATAAGCAAGGTATTCTCCAGATTTGGCTTCCAGTGACTGATAACTGTTTCCAAACTTGAAAAGATGTCTCCAGGGAAAGAGATTTTCATCTAATGATGAAGTAGAATGGGAAACTGAATTATGTTTTGAAGGACTTGATAAATCGCATTACTAAAAAGGTATCCAATTATTGCTGCGAGTACAGATTATTGAAAGGACTTGATGTGTCGAGCTGAAAAAGGACTACATTGAAACAAAAAATATAATTTTCCAAAAAAATGAGTTTTTATTGTTTAGGCCGGGTATTTATCATTTCTACAATTTTATATTAAATTTTTCGTGTAAAAAATTTCATACACCCAAAAACATAAATTCTTCAAATATATTCCACTTGATTAAAAATTTATTTAGTGTATAATGCTAGGAATAAATTATTTATAGAATATACTCGTACAATGCATTTAAAACTTCTAGCATTCTTAAATACTTCTTCTTATATTGTTCATTTAGCTAAATATCGCTTTATTCCATGAAAAGCTTTATAAAGGAGCACATCCAATATTATACCAACAACTGAGCCTGCTATAATTGCTTCGTTATTTTTACATAAAGAACACAAATTTTTCCAAATTGTGCCCAATAGTCCAGAATTATCAGTTTTATAAACCATTACGAAACTTAAAGTGGCTAAATTATTATCGTATATTTCGACACCGCTATCATTAATACTACCAGTGAATTCCATCCTTTCAACGTGTCTAATGTAATTAACAAACCCAACGCAGCGTATTTGTGTGCCCAACATAGAATTTTTCCAAAGGTTTTCACCCGCACTTAGAACATTCTGCAGATCATCTTTCAAAATAATGGTATCGAAATTCTTGAAATCATTTGAAAAAACTTCTTGAAAAGTTTCCATTTGCGGAACAAAGAGTGCAGATTCGATCATCAGGTCGTGATACTTCTTAATATTTTCAAAGAATTTATTATTTGTCGGTACTATCTCAAAAACATAATCTGGTCTTTTTATCGCAGTTTGTAGAATTGTTCTTATCAAGTTTATTACATTATCAACATCATATTCAATAATATTGGCACACTTATTTTCTAATAACACCCAAAAGAGCAATCTTATTGTGCCTAATTCCAAACGATCGATTTCATTTTGTTCGATCATATTCCAAACCTTTTCCAATGGCGGTATCTTTGCTATGTAACTTCGGAGGGCTTCGATGTTGTAGTCACCACGCAAATTCCTGAAATAAGGAGGAAAAGTATCTATGTATTGCTGAAAGTTTTTACTTTGTACACATTTAATAAAAAGCGACATCTTTAAATCCAGTGCTCTGATATCGAGTTGAAAGAGCGAACACAACATATTGAGTTTTTCAGTTGCGGTCATTCCCGCAATATCCGCTAAACCCCTTGACATTTTTGAATTTATAATGTATTTGAGCGAAAATACATACAAATTGATATAATATTATCAATGTTATTAAAATATAAATTGATAATTCAATTGAATACAAATAAATTCAATTGAAAAGTTAATAACAACTGTAACAACTTTCCAAAATAAATTTTTTTTATAAGAAAAGATAAAAATAATATTTGGAGTTGAAAATGCAAGGTTTACTTTTTTATAATTTTAACAAAATTAACAAAAAATCAGTTGGCAAATCATGTATTTATTATCAAATCATTATCTACTGCTTTGCTCAATAGGGAATTATTATGGAGAATCGATCAACATAAAAATAAGTCAATATAGAGAATTGGAAGATTTAAGTTATGCCGAAGATGTCGTTCATATGCAAAGTGTTCGTTAAATTTACAATGCCGATATATAGTCCAAGGTGTGGGGAGTACACGGTCAATATCTGTCTCAGAGCAAATATTTATTACTTGCAATATTTCTATAATATAGTACATTAATATTTTCACCTCAATAGAAACTATCATCTATCTCTACTGACGGTGGTGTAGGTAACGAAGCATGGAACATAATCCAAAAAGCACGAGTTCGCTTTGTATGGAATATAAGCTTCCTTTTATATTTACAATCATAGCTGTAGACAAGGAGAAGAGAAGTTATAAAAAATGTGAAGTTAGATTTCATAGTAGTCCACAAAAATAACTGGATCTAAGTAGTTAATATCATCGCAACCCTTCTTTAAAACAGATTCACAATTTAATATTTTTTTAGTAAATTTTATTATAAAAGATATTAAAACGAAGCTCATTGCTTTTTTTATTTAAATAAAATATTTTGTACAAATGGAAATTCTACATAGCTGTGGCCCCTTTCTCTCTCTAACTTCTTTACTTGCTGTGTCTGCTTTCACAACATCTATGTAAAATAAATACTGTTCCATTCTTTGGAAAAGTCACTGGAAAAATAATATATCACACATAAAATGTAGAGTTTTACCAACCGTTGCGTAGGTGATATATTGTGTATAATATATACACAATAAAATAAATATAATATAATAAAACTATATATAAGTGTAATAAAACTATATTAATGAAAAGTTGATATGAAAAAAAAAATTAAAAGATTACTAACATTCTAAAGTAAATACAATAATTTTGTTCGGTTAACCGCACCTTAAAAGAACTTTATAATAAAATAATTTACACAACATTATAATGGAACTTCTGAAGCAATAGGCATAACTGAAGATCGGAAAAATTAACTAGTTATGACACTTTGAAAGAAATTTAGAAGAATGGAGTTCTATGTTAGCAGTACTTGTCCATGATGCAAAACATCTACATACATATATAAATATATAATTACACAATGCTTACGATCTGCCAAATCGGCACGATTTTCGCTACCAAAAGGTGTAATTCTCAGGCAAACTGATTCCTATCGAGATCATAAACAACCATTTTGTTACTGAAATAAGTTGTAAATACTGCGTTTTATTCTTTCATCAATACATTGTCCATGCATTTATAAAGAATTTTTGGTATAAACCTCTCAGTTGAAAATGAACCAAACTGTCCTTGAAGACATCTTAGCAGATATGTCGAACTCAATTTTGAAATAATTGCAACTATTTATAACTTGTAGTATTGGAATTCCAAGAAACTTCACAGGTACCAATTGAAGTTATACATTTGGTTATGGTTTCCTTCTTCGAAGAGAGCGAGTCCTATCCAACACCTCTTCTAAACCTTGCTGCACAGCACCCGGTTCAATCGGTCAAAGCTATGAGCCCTGAAACTTACTTACTACAATTTATACTCTAAATAATATACTGCTTTCTAGTCACCTCTTACGACAGACATTCCTTACCTCGTGAATATTTTAACCCCTTTTCCGCAAGATATTAGAAAACAAAAATCAATAATTAATTAGTTTTCTTAATATTTCAGTTTTCTCTGGTAGAAAAAATGTAACTGATGGAAATACACAAAGAGCATAATCATAACGATCAAACGTTAATATCGTTACCCGTATTGCTATTGGGTCTGAAAGAATAAGGACAATATTATCATCACTGAACTTTTCAAAAAAACACCCTATCTTTCACTAATATCATTACGAAAGTCAACAGTAGCGTCCACATCTTCATCACCAGCGTCTAAAAGAAAAAAATTAATGGTAAGCAGTTTATAAACATCATCCAATTAAATTTGGTTTTATTTCGATCAATGTAACAAACAGAAAAAAATAAGCTTCAAGAAGCTAAATATAAATCTGAGCAATGCATGAATTTTTTAAAGACTCAAAATAATTGTAGAATTGTTTATTTCTTTTTTTGTTTGTTTTGTAGTAGGTGGAAAGCCACAGTTTGAGATTTGAACCCACTAAAATCACCTCTTTAGAATTTATCTAAGATTTGGTAGCTATCTAAGCTAGAGATGAAGACGCCTAGCGTAATTGCCTAGGGAGCTACCTAGGGGAGGGTAATACTAACGGTATACTCGATGATAAGGGTTACGATATCAGCGATTGTACAATGAAATGGATTGGTGGAGAATGCTTTATTATAATATTTAAATAAAATGTAGCAATAATTAAGTTTAGATTATTTAAGGAGAATATAGTTTCAGTTTAGTGACTTAAAAAATACAAACTAATTTTAAGTTTAATATGTAAATTACTTGAAATTAAGTTGTTTAACATTAATTATTAATAATTTGTGATTATTTTCTTTCCTTAACAAATAGGACCAACTGCTTGTGTTGTTACTTCTACATTACGTTCAATATCAATATGACTAATTCTCATTTGGAGCAGTATGAACAGTTTCTAGGTGCCTTAATCACATTTATCTCTTAATGAAGGCATTTGCTCTGTCTGAACGTATTATGAAGTAGAAAGATGTTTATTTGCAATACATTTAGGTCTCATATATTTCATTGTGAAATGTCCTATTAGAGTTTTTTGTGAAATTAAATATATTTAAACATTAAATATACCATAAAGAATTTAATATAAAAAGTAAACATAAAAATGTAATAAAACATTGATTTCAGTGTTGTTATTTTATGAAACATTAAAGAATCTTAATTAAATTTACTGAGGTTTTTTGATTTATACCAAAAAAAAAAAAGCAATAGAAACGCAAGAACAAAAAGTCATTACTAAGAATGAGTAATGGAATGGAAACCCTAAGAAAATAATGGAAACGAAAAGGTCGCAAGTAATAACATTAATTACGCAAAATTAAATTTCATTTCAGAGCATTAAAAAGCGGACGAACTCCAACTACATCAACTCATTTAATACTTTGTTGATTATATTTCGAATTTGTCGTCCTTTTGATGGCTTTTGGAATTTTATCAAACTGTGAAATTTTCATAAATAATAAATTCACTGAGAATTCGCTTAGTGCACTTATATACATTTATATATATGTATATATTTGTGTGCATATAAATTACATATTTATAAGTTAGTTTGTATGTCATTGTTATATTTAATTTAGTGTGGTTTTGCTCATTACCACAACGCCAGTTGTCATCTTTCGCTTTTGCAGCTCAAATTTTGCTTTATTGCACTTTCCACAGGAGCTAACGTTTCACACGCAACGTTGCATTGTTGCTCGTTGTTGTGTACAGAGTTGCCATTTTTAATTTATTATTTACATTCGAGTGAATGGATGCTCTTTGTGCTGAAAGTTTTGTGGTTTAGTTTCAAAAATAACTCGGAAAGCATAGCTCCGCATAGAGTTGCCATATTTTATGCTTTGCAGCTATTTATCAGCTTATTTATGTGAAAGACTGCCTGACCATATTTAATGAAATTTGCACTTTGCTTTTTTCAATTTTTTCCAAAAAACAAAAAAGCATTGCTCCAATTTTGTGTTATTATATTTCAATTTTATTTAAAGTTCATTACATCTGAAATAATTTTTTATTTCCATTTCATTTAATGGGAAAAAAATAAGAAAAGCCAACACAAGGAAAAATAAAATAGGAAATTGTTTATTATTTTTAGTTTATTAAAAATTTTAGTCAGGTATAATCAAATAATGGTAGAATTACAGTTTTCTAAATACTGCGATTTGACAATAATGACTGCTTCAACATACTACATATAAGAATTTGTCAAAATATTGATATACAAATATCAACAAATATATGAGAAACACTAACAATTAGATGAACGTTTATATTACATCACTCAATAAGTCGTACGACTAACACACAGATGACGCTGCCATTGCCAAATCCATATGACTTTTCTGAAGTACCAACCTTCAAAAGACTATGTGTAAAATTTCATGACATTTCGATTAGTCAGGAAAAAGTGACAGCCATTTAAGTGAAGCTACTTTTGTTATTTTCAAAACAATGGATTCAAAACAATTTCGTGTTTTAATTTATCATTGCTTCTTGATTGAAAAAAATAGTGTACAGGCTCAGCAATGACTTCAAAAGTGTTATCCTGATTCTGCTCCATCGAAAAGAACCATTTGTTATTGGTTTACTGAATTTAAACGTGGTCGTACAGACAGCGATGATGGTGAATGTTCTGGTCGTCCAATTGATCACTTCATTCCGGAATCAAAACGACTGCAGCCGGTGAACCATGTCCGAAGCGTCCATAGGCATAACAGTCAGCTGGGAAGGTTATGGCTTCAGTATTTTGGGATGTACATGGTATAATCTTCATTGACTATCTCGAAAAGAGAAAGACCATCAATAGTAACTCCTACTCCTACGCGGCATTACTGGATCGTTTGAAAGCAGAAATTGTGAGAAAACGACAGCATATGACGAACGAAAAAATTTTGTTTCACCAAGACAATGCACCATGTCACAAGTCAATAAAAATGATGGCAAAATTGCACGAATTACACTTCGAATTGCTTCCTCATCCAACATATAGTCCAGATCTGGCCCCCAGCGACTACTGGCTATTCGCCGATCTCAAAAAAATGTTCGCCGGTAAGAAATTCATCTCAAATGAAGAAGTAATTGCTGAAACAAAAGCCTATTTTGAGGTAAAAGACAAGAAGTTAGAGAAGCGTTGGAATGATTGTATTGCCCTTGAAGGAGATTATATTGATGAGTAAAATCGATTTTTGGCATAAAAAATTTGTTTTCCTTAGTTAGTCAGACGATTTATTGAGTGATATGTTATGTTAATTGTAGTTTATATAATTAATCTGAAATATGATATACTGCTTTTATATTTCCAGTTTTAAAGCATTATATCGGGAAAGTAAAACTACATCGACTTAAGGCGTAACAAAAATTTAACAAAAATGTGTTCTTAAATAGTTGAACCTAAAAATTGTAATCGTGCCAGACTAATTCTTCAAATTAATTATTTGAAAATATATGAATTAACAAGAGTTTTTAATTATATTTCGAGCTTTTTAAAAATAATAGTATACATAGGAAAATTCTAAAAATTAAAATCGAAGATTCAGTTGAAAAGAATCGGCAATACAGAATATTAGTATTGCCCTGTGTGCTTCGGTATACTTTATATGCAAATTTATATCCTGCATTTATCCGACATTTTTACGTTTAGCCTCTTTTATAAAAGACGCTTATTTTCTAAGAATGCTAAAGATATTTCGTTTAATATCAAAAACATGCTATTCAAATGCAGGCCTTGGTATTGTGTGATAAAATGTTTTAAAATATAAAAAATGCTTTGAAGTGTTAAAGTAAAGTTTGTCGAAATATAGGTGGCTAAATCTGATCGATTTAGTATTCATCAAAACCATTTAATCAATTAAATTATTTGAGTAGAAATAAAATCGGTGATTTTATCCCTTATTTATTCGGATATGCACAGAGATTTGGGTTTGTAACTAAATAACTGGATATGTATTTATTAGTATATATACGTATATAAGCATGTCTATTAGGGCCATAGTTTGTTAGTTAATACTAAAATTAATTTCTAGCTTAAACTTAAAAATTCAAAATCTTAACAGTTTTATGATTAGTGTGCGTTAATGCCTTTGGATTTTTTGCTTTATTTGAATCAGAAATGTAAAAAAAAATCAAGCAACAACAAAATAATGAATTTGCCATTGTTTAAGTTAATGTGGAAGATCGAATTCGATAAGACTTTACGTTTATTTGTATGTGTAGGCGTAAACTACAGCGGCCTAAATAAATAGTGGTACAAATTTAATAAAAAATTTTTGTGTAATAGTTAAATAAATAATCGCGATGACAACAATGTTAAACTTATCTTCATAATGCATTTTATATGTATATTACCTGCTCAAAGAAGGAAATTTTTACAAAAAAATACAAATACAATTTAAAACCAAACAGTAAGTTGTCATAATTTATAATGAAATACCTTAAAAATATAACTTGATATGATTGAAGAATTATTGCAATGCAATATAAATAATATAATTTAAATTTATTTATTTACTTTATTTTACACTTAAGTTTATAAAAAAATAATGTTATAACTTCTTATTTATCCAGGGATAATTTTCAATATAATGAATTTTAAAATAATAATTCTTCATTCTTTGGCGTTAAATATTATATAAACGTTCGTCTTCTTAAACAATAGTCATTACTTTCTCGACTGACTGTAATTTATTTATTTGTTTACTCTTAGATTTTAATGTTTTTCAAATAATGAAAATGAGTGAAAAAATACCGATACAGAACAAATACAGAGGACTTAAAAAAGTGTGTATGCTTCATTTGTTTATAACATTGTAGTAATGTTGACTCTTAATATGAGTTTTTAAAAATTTATTTAGAGTTTTTTATTACTAACAATTATTTTTTGCTCTGTTAAAAAATCTAAAATTTTCTAAATCAAAATGTATATGCCTGAAAATTTGATTGTCAATTTCTATTTTTCAAAGTAAACTTCTCTTTTTAATAATGCCACATGAGCGCTACAACATCATAAGCAAATGTAAAAGGAGACATTTTCGGTTTTCATAAAGCAAATAGAGACGAAAATTTTTAATGTTAAGTGGAATAGCCATAAAATTATCGTTGGTGATCACAGAATTTAAGTAAACAGTTTTTGTTTTATGCTCTCAGTATTTTGCTGATTTGACAGAACGGGGAATAACAAATAATAGCACTACAAAAGATCCCTTACGCTTTGTAAAGCGTCAAAAGAAAAATTAAACACTTCAGTCTAGTTTTGATATTGGTTGAGAACGGTTTGGTGATCGTTGATATACACATATATATTAAGTAAAGTGGAAATTAATAGTACAACATTTATTTAAATAACATAAAATACAGATTTGTTATTTTCAATATTTTATTATTAAAACTATGATTAAAAACTTGATTTTTTTAAATAATAAAAAATTTTTAACGACTATAAAAATTAAATATTTAATTGTTTTTTTAATTAATTTACGTGATTTTCATAAACAAAATCTGTGAAAGCAAAACTTTGAACGCACGTTAAATTTTTTTTTTGTTTTTTTTTTTTTTTTATTATAAATTGTTTTATTATTATATATGATTTTAAAGAACAATAAATAAAACAAAACAAGACATAAAGCAACTAGTTATTAGATAACTAACAAGCAATTTAAATTTAAATAGATTAGGCGATTCCACGCAATAATAAATTAATTGTACTATATTTCAATGATTTAAGCCCAAAGATCGCACGGCTTTCGGCGCTTTAGACGGCCGAAATGGAAAATTGACATATCTGTGTTCTTAACGAAGTTAGTTTAAAGTTGTAGTAAATATTATCAAAAATATAAACTTTATTTTGCAAAGACAAAAATTAGTGGAAAGTGGAGTGTAGTTCAGTTTTGAATTTTAATTTTCAAATTGTGTCTGTAGTGGAAGTTTCGTTAGCGCCATTTTGATTTCACTTTGCAGAGGCGTAATTTATAGCAAAAAAAAGTCGAAAACTTATAAGACAATTCAATGGGAGCTTGCATAAATTCAAGCCAAAAAATTTTTTACAAACAATCAAATAATTAAAAAAAGCAATTTCATAAGAAATTTGAAAATTTGCACTAAATCTACGCAAATGATATCAGTTTAACAAAAGGATCATATAAGCCAAAAATAGCAACAACAATAACGGTAGCTTCTTGTGTATACCATCAACACAAATTTATGCAATAATACAAGAAAAGAGAAATAGAAAAGTGAATAATTAGCAAAACAAAAAGTCGGCTTTTGAACGTTTAAGGAGGTAAGTTGCAAAAGCAGACTAATAGGAGGTGTACAAATCTGACTTGTTTGTGCGAGTTTTATTGTCGCGTATACAAATTAAATGTGTGTAAAAGCTTTCAAACTGTGTGTGTTTATACATGTGGATGTATAAGTTGCAATGATATACAGTCAAACTTTCATAACTCGAAGTACCATTTTGCAAAGAAAAGGTTCGACTTATGGAGACTTCAAATTAGAGAATTTTTTATTTTTGAAAGAAACTAGAATTATATTTTAAGATATTTATTTATTTGCAATCAAGCAAAGCACAGAAGTTATAATGAAATAAAATATTCAGAAATTAGGGTTTGGGATTTTAATTACTTTTACTTATTTTCAGTAAAATTATTTCTAGCCTTGTAGTGATCATCAGTTGGAGTATCATTCATTTGTAAATAAAAATTCAGAATTTTGAATGCGTCTTCTACTTCACTCTTGGAAGGCTGATGAAGAATTTCATCCACCGAACTCACTCTTCACTTTCCGTTGTGCTTAGAATCGGATCCACTAATTCAGAGCTATATTGCTCAATAATATCGTAATTTATAGAAAACCTTGATGTACAAATTTCATTGTCAAGGTTAATATAATCGTTAAGAGTAGCATTGGAAATTATTTTATTTACTTTAAACCATGCTGCCAGCGACTGCAATTTCCACATATAAGCAACATAAGAAAAAAATTTCTTATGTTGAAAAAGGGACTTCCCCTAACACTAAAATGGATTCATACTTAAAACAAAAATTCGATTTAAAGAATGCACTTTCCCACATTCCTATTGGCACGTGACAATATTTATTTTCCAGTTAGAGAGATATTCGTGTTATAAAAGTTCGAGTTATGGAAGCAGAATTGTAGGTAATTTGCTCTCTAAAACCCTAGTTATGGAAGCTGAATTGTATGTAATTTGCTCTCTAAAACCCTTTTACACTCTTTTTAGTTTGATTTATAGAAAATTCGAGTTATAGAAGTTCGATTTATGGAAGTTTGACTGAATGTTTACCATTTAGGTAGATAAGTACATATGTCGATTGTGCACATTGCAAAAAATTAAAACGTTCATTAACATTTAAACAAATTTGTACATTTGTTCTTTTTTACAATATTGAAACTTTTAAAACTGTTTAGTGTTGTTAGAATTTTTATGTACAAATACTTTCGACAAATGACGTTCAATTTTAAATAAAGGTTTACAATAAATCGCTTATTACTTTTTTTCTGCATTTTCTTACATGATAATTAGAGTCTCTTAGAGTAAGATAGTTCTTTTACGTATAAATAAGAGACCTTGGCAAGAGACTTGTTGTTTTTTGGCACACTTTGAAGTTGTCGAATCAAGCTTATAGTTTCCAAAAAGTATGACTTTTTTGTATGTGCTTTTTTGCAAGCTGTTGCATATGCAGTCCTTATATTTATTGAAGTCAAGCAATCAATGACAAATTTGTTCGTGTAACTCTGTCCTAATAACAAAAACACAGGGATCATCAGTACAAATAGAAACATACTTGAAATTGTAATATAAAAGACATAGGCAATTACAAGACATGTCTTATATACTTCATTGAGCAGCAGTATTAGTATACAATGTAAGTTACAATGTAATTATTATTAAATTGTAACTTAAAGTGAAATTTCTTATCTCAAAGATATTCTTTAAAACGCTTGAAATTCATTATATTTGATAATTATTATTATTATTTAATTAATTGTTGTTCACTTTTTAAGAACTGATATATCGTGGCGTTAACACTACCAATTTATAATGACATATGATGTAAGATCTTTACATGTAAGATCTTATATTCCTTTCACATTACTAGAAGTAATAGGTTTAAGAACAAGCTTATTATGTACCTGCTTTTTTGCACTGCAATGGAGTCGTACAAGAGTGCAATTATAAAATTTAAATAAAAAGATTTAAGTTGTCGCCTTTAGGTTGTGGTATTCGAAGTGTGAAGTCAAAAAGAAAAAGCTCTTCATACGATATATCCTTTCAAGGGAATAAAAATAAATTTTTACCGATAAAAATGTTTTCAGTAAAATGTAAAAACATAAAGGACATTAATAAATTTTTTTTTTGCAATACACGTCCGCAATCTCAGTTTGTACTTTAAATTCATGCATTACTGGGCTAAGTGTGCCTTGGTAGAACTTTACGGTTGTTCGTTTTTGGATTTATGGGGCTGCTGGCTGTGATAATCGTAGATGCAACAAAAGACAAACTCCCACTGTGCACCAAATATAAAAATTGTTCACTTTTTATCTGTCGTTGAGAAAAAATTGTAATTTTTTTTTATAATTTTATCACTCTTTTTGCACGACGTTTTTGCTGTTCGTTCCTATATCTCTTTAAAGGTTTTACTCAATTTATATGATAATTTAATGGCACTTAAATGTAATCTGTGCTTACTACAAATGTGGTAACTGAAATAGATGATTTCATTAAAATTAAATAACTCATGAATACGAAAGCAACTCTTAATCATAATTGCATTAATTAAAATCAGCATTGGCATCTTTAATATTTAATGAGTGTTTAATTAAATAACTTGTTTTCAAGTTATTTCACAAAAAACACACACAAACACAGATTATCTTGAATAATGAATAAATTTTAAGTTCGTAATTTGTTTTATTTCATAAATTTTTTAAAGGATTCAAGCACAAAATTCGAGTTTGCCATAGATAAAGCAATTTTTTGTTGTGTTTACGGCATAAAATCATTTTGATATTAGAAAAAATATATTCAAATTGCTATACAATATTATATAAACTCCTCCAAAGTATAACTAAGTTACTATAGTAATTTAAAAACATTAAAATACAGTGGAACTTCCATAACTTGAAGTACCATTTTGCAAAGAAAAGGTTCGAGTCAAAGAATTTTTTTGTTATTGTAATTTGCTCTCTAAACCCTGTTGCACTCTATTTAGTTCGAGTTATAGAAAATTCGAGTTATAGAAGTTCGACTTATGGAAGTTGGACTATAGATCGATTTTACGTTTCTTATTGTTGCGTTGTCTTCCTTATATATATAAAATGTTCAATATTAGAATCCGTTAACTATGTGCAAATCCGGCACTTGTTCAGATCCTATTGATGATAGGATGTTCAGATCCTATCGTGAACTTATTTTATGAAATTTATTTTTAAGTAAAAAGTAAATGCAGTTGATGAATATGGTTTAGGTTAAATCCATATGATTTAATTTCATATGGTTTAATTTTTTTTTATTATAGAACTTAAATTTCATTTGTAGTAAGACATTTTAAAAAACTTCTAGTTCTTGTTTTTTCCTTATTGAATATAACTTCGACACTGATTCAATATATTTAGTATGTCATAGCTTAAAATTGTTGTCTTTAAAGAGTTCTCTGATACATTTTTTGCATGCAGTCTTCTGTCGTAGTGCTAGAGTTTGTAAGTTATGCTTAATTTTTTTTCACAGGATATCTAGTTTGTTGCTATTTCTTCTCCTGCTTTTATTTTATCTTCGATCATTCGGGTACATTTGTTGATTTTCATTGAGTTCAATTTTTTTGATATCAATTTTAGCTGTTTCTATTCCTAAGTAAATTAATAGGGATTAACTAGAATTTCGTAATTGCATTCTATGAATGCATTGTTTTTATGACAAATTAATAGATTGACAAAAGTAATAGTTCTTCTTTCATTTTTATTCAATTCGATGTATGTTATGTATGATAAATCTTTTTATAATAAAAATAAGTTGTAGTTTTCAAAAATACAATTACTTTAAATGAAATTGATGAACAACGTAATCAACATTTAGCTGTTATGAGAATTTAATAGAAATTCAGCAACAAGTAAGACCAGTGAAATGCCAAGACAGCGTAATGGGCGGGTTCAAAATGGAAAAACCGCATAGAAATGTACCAGTTAAAATGTAATAGCATTTATCTTTGTTAAGTTTTGTTGACTTTAGAGCGTTGTGATAAAAATTTTTATGGCATTAAGTACACGTATTCATTTAAATATACTTCTTAAATCTTTACTTCAATTATTATTTTTGTGATTGCCAAATTTTCAACAAAATTTATTTGTTTTTGAAAAACATTATTAACATTAAAGCACAAAATTGTCTTGTTTGTATTTTTGCAGTCAATTTTTTAATATTTATCCATTATCCATTGTTTTCCAATTTAACAAAAAAAAATTAAATACTTATATACATCCAAATTATATTTGTCTAAAGTAATGTCAAACGACTGAGCATGAATACCATATAAGTCGTACGTGATCTGGCAATACCACAGAATGACATCCGTAAATCATAGTCTCTTTTAAGTCGCAACGTAAATACTTCGTCCTGCTTTGCAAACACAAAACAAAAATAAGTTTTATTCTTGCATTATATTTCCATTTCATTTGTTCTCCATCGTACGTTTCTTCCTGAAAATAACTTTCTTAAAACTTTTGCTTAGGGGACGTAACTTTTATTCGATATAACCCACATGGTTGAACTTTTACTCTCACATGAAATGCTGTCAAAAATCAGATTTAAAACGACCACAAATTTTTTAGCTTGGAAAATTGTAGTCTGACATTGACACTCGTGTAAGCTCGAAATTTTTATTAAAAATATTAAATTCACATATATTTTATTATTACTAGAATACAGTTAGAAAATTTTCCTTATAATAATATGTGGTGAGATATTATATGCATTTAATTATGCACAACGTTAAGATTTATATCTTATAGAAAAATTTTAATCAATATATTTGGAAAGATGTACATATAATATATGAATTTTAAATGTAAGACGGTTAAGCAGCCAAGTAGAAGTCGGTCAAGCAGAGAAGTAGTCAAGCAGTTTCTTAAGTCAGTAGTCACGTGGTAGCCTGTAAAGCAGTTAAGTAGAAGTCGTTCAAGGAGGCCAGTAGTAGCATGCTCAAATAGTATTCTATTTATTGTTAAAATCATTTAAATTATTAATATTAATGTGAGCTTATCTTTTACATAAATAGTATTGATTCTTAAAGAGTTATAAAGATAAATTTAAATTTCTTCAAAATATATACTTTATAAAATTTAATTTTTATTTGATCAATATACATACATAAATAGACATACATACATCTGTTATATCGGATAAATTGCGGGTATACCTTAATAAAATCTAAATATGAACATATATCATATATCATGGATTTTTATACTTTTGATAACCATATTATAATATACAGTAATTAATTCAGCTAGACAAATTTCCTTAATTTTTTCTTAATTATTTTTAATTAATAACAGCTACAGTTTTTTGTCTATATTCAAATTTTAAAATTTGTATTACTTTCAAAATATTTTCCCGGTTTTATTAAAGTCAACTGTTACTGATATTTATTTAAAAAAATGTCACTTTTTCGTTATCTCAATTTCATCTTTGTCTTGAAATTTATCTTAAGCAGAACTGAATTTTGTATGGAAAAAACAACTTAATTTCGCTGAAATGAAGATGAAATTAAGATTTTTTGCGAAATTAAAGTGTGTCTGAATATAATAAAGTGTTACCTTACCATACTTTCAGATATGATATTTTAGGCTATAATAAGTAAATTAAGTCTGGAAAAATATATGTAATACAGTAAAGGCGACTATATAAACTATATACATTGAAAATAAATATAGCTATATAATTCGATATATCCAATTAAGTTTGGAAAAGTATATGTATGTAATACAGTAAAGGCATATACCATATAAACCATATACATTGATAATAAATAACACAATATAATTCGATATATCCATGTCCAGTGGTTTTTAACCACATTTCTGTTGAAATCAAAAAATCTGTAGAAAATATCTATCTAATTAGTTTCAATATAATTTTTTCTACTTGTCTAAAGAACTACTTCTACTCATAAATTTTACAATTTCAATTTCTTTAAATTCTTGTCATAAAGAAATTGTTTAAACAATTTATGCGTAACAAATTATGCTTAAAGTTATTTATTATTTATAAAAGTAATATAATACAAAATGTTTGTTATAAAAAAATAACAAATATTAAAATAAATTTGCTAACGTTTTTATATAGGAAAATATTTAAAACCTAGATTATACTATAAAAACGTGTTTTAAAAGCATTGCTTGTTATTCGTTTCTGGCTTAGCATATTATAGTGCAGAGTAGGTCGCGGGCCAATACAAATCACTGAATAGGTTGAAGGGCCGCAGAAATAAATACATACCTTCATAATTTTGCGGAGAAAAATAAAAATACTATAATTTATAATTTTTTCAATATCAGCATTATTAATACTAGTTATTGCCATACGCAAAATATTTTATTTTTAATGTGATGACTAGAGGCACTGGACACTAATATTTTGAACCAGTTGTACAAAATATATACTAATCTTTGTCAATTAAGTAATATTAGCCGCGATGGAATGAGGCCCGTGGGAGGTTTTGGACAGCTCTGTTATAATGTAAAGTAGCAGTATATTCAGAATATCTAAATGATGAAGAGAGATTAAATTTATTTCTAATAATTTTTAAATTTTTAAGATATCGCATTAGCTTGCCTTCCAAGTAGTTTGGGAAATTAGAATGCTCTTCTTATTGCTTAATCCTTATTTTCGAGTAAGTTTAATATGAATTCAACTAATTTATCGAAGTATATCCGATTACATTTCTTCTTTTCTTATTTTTTATAGTACAGATCTGAACATACCCTATCTGAATAATATTACAGTTGTAAAGTTTGTGCTAGAGCATTTACGAAAATTGTTTGAACTTACAAATCTAAACCTAACCTGAAACAACATCGTCCAAGAACTAAATGTTTACTCCATTATCAACATAAGTGAAAAGATACTTGTTATAGGAACAATAAACTACATGCATACATGCCTGTATATATAGTATATGCAAAGCACCACCATCAGTTGATTTACCAAAAGGACAATTTCTTACAGAGAGTTCTATAGAGTTTGACTATAAATGACAAATTAAGCTGCGTCATTTAAAGGTTTATACTAGCAACGCTGCTGTGTTAAAGAAAGATTTGTGACGAAGTAGCTGTTATTATGAAAGGGTGAACTATTCAGATTATCAATGGTCGATTAAGTGGACAATGTAATTATCCTAATAAATTTCAAATATAATATACCTGATATAATGACGAAACTAAATTTGTTTGGTTTCCTTTAAATTTAACTGCAATCCCAATCCCGCTTTAAAGTTCTCTTTTATCGCAATTATATAAAAATTTTTTTCCCAATCTGAATTGAAATTATTCGTCCGCTTCTAAAACATTTCGCATTTTTATTTTGCTGAAAAATAAATTGAAGAATTTAACTGCAAGTAAGTAAATTGCATTGCAATCACAATTTTAGCCTTTTCTTCTTTGCTATTTTATTTTAGTCTTTGCAGGTTTTTATTCCATTTCAATCTTTATATTCAAATTTGTCGTTCAAAATTAATTGAAGTAAATAAAGAACTTGGAACGTGCACGTTCTCAAACTCACCTTGAATATTTTATATATTTTTTGTTCAGATAGTAGACTTTTGAATATCTCAACCTTACAAGTTTCCTTATAGATTCTGCTGCTTTTTATAATTCTTTTGCTTTTGTACAATTTTAAATATTTTTTCACTTTATTCCAAACTATGCTGAGAGATGAGATTTTTTTAAGACTCTAGAAAGATTTAAGCCATTACTCCTTGATAGCATTTTTTATTGTAAATGGATTACTATCCGAAAAAATTGAGAGCAATAGGGAGGAGCAAAACACTTAATTCCTTGTTTTTACTATGTCATTTTAAATGAGAATTGTAATTGACTGGTGTGTCAAATGCGTTTTCATAACATGACAAATACGAATATACGAATACGAATATGACATCATATGATTACCCATTTTCATTATACTCACAATATTTGATATTAAAAGCGATATAGTGAAAACAAGGCATAAGTTTTGCTCTTCGATTTTTAGGTTTAGTTAAGCAATACTCTAAATTATTATGTTTTAAACATTTTAGAATTATTTTAGTATCAAGAAAAACGAAAAAAATAATAAACAAATAAAAACTCTTAAGCATTGGTTTATGGTTTTTACCTAACAATAGTAAGAATAACGAAAAAAGTTATAAAATTTATAAGTTTTATTGTTTTAAATTGTTTATTGTTAAATTGTTATAAATTTTAAATACTAACTAAATAATTTAATAAACAAATTGTTAAAAGGATACATAAGATATTCTACTTTCTAGAATAATATTGCATTTGAATATACAGTGCATCGCAAAGCTACCTCCTGGAAAAAATATTACATTAATCTAAACTATTACATTATATAGCAACCCACATATACAAATCTAAAGTAATAGAATCGTTTTTAGTAACATAGGTAACAAGTTTTCCGGTAAGGTCGAAAGATCTATTAAATTATCTAAATTCGAAGGAATGGATTTAGTTTTTGTCTTTTCATACCTTAATGTTATAAGGCGAAGATGCCTCTCATAGCCATCTGCATCTCTAGCAGTAACGGATAAAAATTGAGATTTTAAAGGGTTGATAAAAATATATTATTTTAAATAATACGAATTTTGTATCTTCATATAAATTATGCTATGATATAGAGATAAACATTTTTAACTTACACATCTTTCCCCAAATATCTTTCTCTTTACCTTACAAATAGAACATTTTTTAAATATTCATTTAAAATAATGTCTTTGAAAAAACTCAACTTAAATAAATGTTCTCCTTTGGAGAAAGAAGGAATGGAATTTGAGAAAGAGATAAAATGTTGAAAGTATTTATCTATTTATATTAGTAAAAAGCTTGCTGAACCTACAAATTTTAAATAATTTATAAATTATTTTATAATTTATAAACTATAAATTTTATATTAAATCTTTATAGCATGAATTTTTGAACGGCATTCTGTTTTTGTATTTGGCAGAGAAAATTTTTATTTATGTTATCTTTCTCTGTCTGTCTATACTTACATGAAGCCTCTTCTAGCATTAAAAAAAAATTCACAACGGTCCTAGAATATATCTATCATATACAGAGAAATTAAATGATTGGAAATTTTAACTAAATACTTTAATAAAGAATCTATTTTGTTTAATTTTTATGACATATGTTGTGATATATTCAACTATATGTTGTTGTTGTTGTGGTTTCTTGAGTTAGTGCTATTGCGCACTGTTACTCTTTTGTGGCTGGGGGGCTTATCCCTGCCACACACTAAATTTCAACTATATTGGAATTCATATCTGGAATTCATAACTGTTGACGGACCGTAGGTCAGCATATCTTCCTGTGGGTCCTGAGGTGGACTTGTTTGTTGGGGCGGGGTTAGCCAACGTATCGACTTTTGTGAATAATTTTAGGGCTATATATTCATTCGATTTGGTCAGTCTAATAGAATGTAAGTTCCCAAGGAATTTTTTTTTTTTTGTAAATGTCCTTTATTGGATATTAGTAGTACAATCTTAATTATTTGTTAATTTATTACTATTGTTGAATTGTACTTAATAGATATTAAGTAATACGAGTGCGGGTTCAATGAATCAGTGTTCAGCTCCCATGAGAAATGTATACAAAAATTTGATTAGCCTATTTACGAGACTAAAAACTAGATCGAGTTCCAAAAGAATGATATAAAGATAAATTGACCGAATTTGCTGAAATTATTTGTCTAGCCTAGTTAATAATTGTTATGATATATTAATTCTTTCATATTCATATAAAAATTAACTAATCCGATAAACTCCTAGTTAAATAGTATAGCAATTAATATATATATTTTAATTTTGTTTATAAAAAATTTATTTATATGTTTCCATTCATCAAGTTGAAATTACAAAGACACTTTACGGCATATAACTTCTTCAATCTAATAACTTATTTCAGTTATAATTAACATTTTCTTCTTTTTTTTTGCAGATACGAGACAACTTAAAATGGCTTTTATTCGCAAGTTTAATTTTTTCCTTTTGCTACTTTCAATAACTCTAAATTTAAGTGTGGAGAAACCTGAATATGAATGGCTAATGAGTTATACAAAGAGAAAGGTTTTAAATATAGCACAAAGTTGTCCAGATGACTGTATTTGTGGTTATCAGTTGTATGAAGGAGCACAAAAGTACGTGGTAAATTGCACAAATACGGGTTCAATACGCAACAATTTTTATTTTTTGCCTGTAGATACACAAGTTCTTATTTTCACAGGCAACAATATAGCTGAATTTGACTGGCTTAATGTATTTCAACTAAGTTTAATATGTATTAGTCTGACCGTTTTAGATTTGAGTAATAATCAAATCAGAAAAATAAACAAAATTCCTTCTACATATCAGTATATGCCGAATCTACAACAGCTTATATTAAGTCACAACAATCTGATCATATCACACGATGATCATCCTTTATCTATATTACCCAAATTCGATACTTTGCGAAGCTTACACTTAATTAATGCATTTGATGACAACTACTCGGCACATTTAAATGAGGATTTACATGACATACTGAATAATGGACAGTTGCACAATTTAGTAAACTTGCATTTAGAACAAAACAAAATTACTCATTTTAGGGATCCTAAAGTGTTTTGTGCTTTGCCTAATTTGCGTGAACTGTATCTAGCTGATAATCTGCTTACTGAACTGAATTTTGAAGTGCATTGTTTGAGTAACCTGCAACTACTAGATTTGCAAAGAAATAAGTTGCAATTTGTGAAAACAGAGCATACAGCAGCTCTAAATGAATTGCAGAGTCGACGACACTTTGGAAATAATTTAAACGTTGACTTTAATTTGAATCCATTTGTGTGTGATGAAATAGAATCATTTCGTAATTGGATATTATCTACTAAGGTCATTGTAAACAATAAGAGCAACCTTCTGTGCTATAGAAATGGAGCTAAACCATTACGGATCATTGAAATGGAAACCAGACACCGTCTTTATTATACTGAACTAATTCGATCGTCACCTATGTATAGCAAGGACCAAAACATTGAGACCAACGAAAGTTTGGGTTTAAAAGTCAACTTTATTTTATTCGTAATAATCGTTATATTGGATTTAGTTGGAAGTTTGGTTACAGTAATGATGAAGTGCATTTTCTTGTTCTCTTATTTAAAACAACGTTGGATCAGAAGTGTAGGTAAATCTGTTAATGATGAAGTTGAAGTCTGCTCTAAATTAAATATGTAAACAAATTTTAAAAAGTATAAAAAAAAAATTCATTTTTCATAATTTATAAATTTTCATTCTAACATATTTGTCGTCATTTCTATTAAATTAAGTCCCATCACATATATAGTACTTGTATAAACTTGTATGAAAATATATAGTCTACTTTCACGGCTTACAAAAATATTAGTACAATCGGTAGGGAGATATTTCAAGTAAACGTTCCATTAAGAATTTTTTTATTTAAATAAATAAAAATAATTAAAATAATAATTGTTTTAATAATTGAGGTTTACCTTTTATTTTCAACCTCAAAAGAAGTAGTGCACCACATTCCTTTCTTTTGAAGAAATCTTCTTCTTTTTTCCGTTAACTCCCAGTGGAGCATAGGGCTTCAACAATTCCTCTGAACAGTATTCTATTTGGAGCTGCCGTAGAGATGTCGTTCTATGAGTAGCGCGCTGATGTTAATCAATTGTCCTTCGCCATGTTCTTGAAGAAGCGTCTGGCCGACGACTGCCTTGCGGGTTCCACTTTAGGGCTTGCTTAGCGATGCAGGAATTCGACTTGCGTAACATATGTCCGATCCATTGTGATTTTCTTTTTTTTATTTCACACTCGACGCTTTGTGTATTCTCGCTTTTGAAGAAATAATATATATTAATGATATTGCTATAATCATTGGTTATAGTGTGTTGTCTGGTTCACTAAATTGTGAGAGCAAATGGTGAAGTTTTACTAAAATAAATAATAAATCTGTGCCACCTGAGAAGATAAAAAAAAAATTTTATTGGGTTTGAGAATGAAATTAATGAAAATCTTTTTGTATTAACTTGAGTTTCAAATTTAAAGAATAGATTTATAATAATCAAATATTTCAATTTGTTTTTTCTGTTTATTAAAATTATAAAAATAACAGTTGAAAATAAATAAAAAGATATTTAAATTTTAGTTTATATTTTATTACACTTATTGGTAATATTGCCATTTTAATAATATTTTATTATTTTATTATTGTTATTATGCATTTCTTAAATATTGTACCTATAATAAAGAATATAATGGTCATTACTTATATCGCTACTTTTGTATTAACCAAATTTATTCTCTTATAAACTTTTTTGTGACACTTTTTACTTAAATATTTAAATAATAATTTCACTGAGTTTTTAATTTACTTATAACTTATTTACTTTAAATATCTACTAAAAATATTTCTAAAAATTATGTTTAATTTACAACTAGTTACTTTCAACATTTTTGTAAAAGATAAAGTTAACATTATGTATTAAAAATGTTTAAGAAATATCATTATTTTTAATAATTTTCTATAATTATCTATATTGAGTTTTCAAAATAAATATATAAATAAATTTACCAAATGTTTAAATTATTTTACAAGCTCCAATATATTTAACTCCTGAATAACTCCTAAGCAAATGTAGTTTATACCCAGATTACGACAGCTAATATAATATTTCTTTACTATTATTAATTATTAATATATAAATATTATTAATATTATTAATATCTTATATATGTATATATTTCTTCTGTACGTGTGTTGACAGTGAACTCCTCCTAAACGGCTGAACCGATTTTGATGAAATTTTTTGTGTGTGTTCAAGTGGCTTCAAGGAAGGTTTAGATTTACAATTTGGCCCACTGGATAATGTCTTTTTAATCAATTTTTTATTTTTTGGTATCCATATACATTTATATTAAAAATTTAAAATTTATTCATGCTTACTTTGATTTGTTTAAAAAGTTTAAAATCTCTATAATGAATCGTAAAACTGCCGTTGCATAGCTTAAATGCATTTAAATTCCGCAGTATAATTATAGGTGAGCCAATTTTTAATCTTAAGTTATGTGGTGGTATTCCTGGTAAATCCAGCGAATTCAAAAATTCCACAGGATAGTTGAACGATTCATTTTAGAGTTTAAACTTTTTAAACAAATCAAAGTAAGAATGAATAACTTTTAAATGTCTAATATAAATGGACCAAATTGTGAATCTAAACCATCCTTGAATTCACTTGAACACACACAAAAAAGAAAAATTATATATATAAAGATATAAATAACGTACAAAAAACAATGCCACGTCTTCGTGGACAAGGAGAAAATATTGGTCGAGCGACTCTGAATTCACAATTACTCCAGAACCGTCGGTTAAATAGATCGGCAGAAAACAATGAGAATGTAAGAAACCAGGATACAATCACACGTCTTAATGAAAGTCAAGAGCAACGCAAATAACGCCTTCGAGCTAATGCATTGAGACAAAGACTGGCCCGTCCACGAGTCACCGACATATTCAGAACACGTGAACAACAGCGTTTGCAAGTGTATCGGGCATTGACACGTTCATCATTTCATCACCTTGCGTTTGAATATGAGTCGGTTATCGACTATTCGTCACATTCACGAATTGTAATCGGTGCTATGAACAAACAGTGCCAACACTGTCATACACTCAAATACAAAGGTGAATCGGCCGGTTTCTGCTGCACATCTGGAAAAGTTGTATTGCCACCATTGAATTTGTCGCCAAAACTATTGAAAGCACTATTGGCTGGAGCTACATCTCAATCTAAATTGTTTTTTCGTAAAATTCGCAAATTCAATTCGTGCTTTTAAATGACATCATTTGGAACAACAAAAATCGTTCAGAATGAGATTGGTCGCAATTTTCAATCAACGCTTAAGATTCAGGGCCAAGTGTATCACCAAATTGGTTCTTTAATGCCGATGCCCAATAATGATCCCAAATTTCTGCAAATCTACTTCATGGGTGATGAGAAGCAGCAAAGAAACGCACGTTGCCAGTACAACCATATCGAGCAGATGGAGGAGCAAGAAATTGTGGGTATTTTAGAACCGTTTTTAAAAAATCACAACCAGTTGGTCCAGTTGTTCAATACCGTTTCAAACCGACTGCTAAACGACAACTATACAATCGTCATAAAAGCAGACAAAGTACCATCTGGGCAGCATGCGGGCCGATATAATGCACCGACTATTAATGAAGTTGCAGTTGTTATGGTTGGCGACGCATTTGAACGTCAAGATATATGAATACAACGCAGAGATAACACAGTGCATACGATTGATGACAGTTATCGCTCTTACGACGCTTTGCAATATCCATTGATATTCTTTTTTCATTTAAAATGTAGTGCTTATAAGGATTTGAAAATATTTGTAACATAAGTAATGCATGTGTACTTTTTGTAGTTCAAAAGAAAAAATCAATTCAAAATAATTTTCGTATTAAAATGCTAAAGGTTAAGTTGAATAACAACAAATATTATAACTCAGCTGAGCCAGGAAAATTAATTGCAAGGGGAAACAACGTTCGCCGGGTCAGCTAGTATAAAAATAAAACATTAATATTTAATTTTCATTCTTAAAGGTGCATGTTTCATAATTGCATCATTATTAACGGGGTTTGAACGTGGAATTGTGTAAGTACTCACTAACAAAACTAGGTTAGCAAAGAGTAACATGTAAAATACGGGTCCCAAAAAACTTCCGAGGCATATTATTGCTTTCATTGATTTAAAAAAAGAAACTTCCTTGAGAAAAAAAATATCTATTCTGTAAAGCATGAAGTTACGATTAGGTAGATGTGTTGTTAATTTTTTATGTCAAGTTCTTATATCAGACTTCGGGTTGTATAGTAACCAAAAAAAAGTCCCCATAGTATCTTATCTTTCTCAAAAGCATCTTATAATTCAAACATTTTTTTATCGTAGGTAAGCAGTTTCAGTATTTTCTTCAGTATCTTCTTCGAGACTTGATTTTCATTGAGTGCTTCGTTTTATTATTTTTATTCTCTAGGCAATCACATGTGGCATTTCAAAGTTTAGAAAGACCGGGAATAAAACAGTGATCCCCGTTTGTGAACTTTTAAGATATATTTGGTAAGTGTAAAGAGTTTTGTTTTATCGATTATTGTCTATTTATCACAATATACGATGTTCCTTGAAACATTTTGTTTTGCTATTTACATGGAAAATACTCTGTTTATACTTTGTAATGTATATTAATATTTTTCATATATTTTAAATATATATTTTATACTATATTATATATTATTATATATTAAGAATTATATTAATTTTTATTTATTATATATTAAGAATTATATTAATTTTTATTTCTTTGTAACGTTTCTTTTAGCTGTTTTATGACTTCAATAAGCATTTTTTATCGTACTTATTTCTACTGGTTGTGCCAAACATTATTAGATACCCAGCAGGTGAAAGTATCGATGTATCAGCGCTACTGCATTGATGCTTTAGAATCAACCATCGATACCACAAGGAAAATCATAGGAAAATAATGAATGTGTAGGCTTATCCTACTTAATTTAATTTTATTTATTTATTAAAACAAACCGTCAAAAGAATGACAACCTTCTTTTTTACTCCATAAAAATATCATTAGTTTTTTAAAAAATTTTCTTTTCATGACCAACTCATCTTATTTTCAATAATTTATTTGTCCGAATTTGCATGGCCAACCTAGATCATGTGAATATGCAACCGCCACATCACTCCCCTGGCAGTGACTGAGTCATGTGCGATGTCACGTTAAGTCAAATTTAACATATCTTCTTGGAACCTGCACTAACCGTCCCTTTCGTGTTACATTACTTGGTTTGGTATCCATTCGAGTATCTGCCATATTTTCTGTACGTGATGGGCTTACGTCTTCATTGTCACTTGATAAAAATGCTGCCTTTACCCGATCAACACTCACCCGCACCGGTTTTCCTTTGATTAGAAGATCATACGTCTTGTCTGAACGCGAGTTATGTGACACCCCAGTTACATAACAAGTTATTGCCCCAGACACAGCACATGCAGCGACACACTATCATATATTTTGTATCTTATCATTATTGTAACCATATATTTATGTGAACCCAAATTTATTTCTTAATTATGTAAACATATGCTACATAAGCATATTTTAATGTATAAAATATTGTATTTTAAATAATTAAGCTC